GACGCGGTGCGACCGTTGAGCAGGCAGGGCCGCAGTGCACACAACTTCAATGAGGCTCGTTGGTGGCGTTTACAAGTGTCGTACGGCTTTCACTCAGTTGTACATTGTTGTTTTTTTCTTTTGTGTTTTAATGTACTTATTTTTCACCTGTGTCAAATATTGTTTGACTGGGGCATACTGTATGTTATACAGAATCTTGTACGCCAAAAAAGTAAATTTTGAAAATTCTGTCACTTAGAAGGTTGTTCTCTACAATAACGATATGTGCCCACGCGTGGGAAGTGAAAGTGAAAGGAATTGAAAATGCTTTCAAACACAATCATGAAGGCCCCAACAGGTATATGGATGCAAAAACTAATGTTTCGGATGGGAATGATACGCTGACTTACTTTACTATGGCGGCGCCGGTGGCCTAGTTAGTGGTTAGGCTACCGGACTCGTAATCGGGAGATTTCGAGTTAGGGGTTTGAGCGTCAGCTCGGTCCGACGTTGTGTTCTTGGGAAAGACACTTTACACCAATTCCTCACTTGGCTCGATCCTTTCGGAGATGGTCGTTAAACTCAGAGGTCCCGCCTTTTAAATAACTTAATATTGTTGATAGGGGCGCGAAATCTATACCATTTCACTATTTCATTTAACTCTTCTATAGTGCGGTCAAAAATTCGTGACTTTTTATTGTCGAATATCTCCTTAACTTCGAACATAGATTCTCCAACTTTTACACAATGACTTATATCAATTTGTCTTAACAGATAAATATTTTTTCAAACACCTGTACATTATATTTTAAAAAATTCTTCAATGAATACAAATAAGAAAATCCCATTTCAAGGTTTCTACAGATTAAAAAAAATTTACAGCTGGAGCAACATCTCTTAAAAAAGCAAGTTCGTCATTTTTTTCTAATGGTGACATTATGATTACTGTGCGCATGTTTTGAGAACAATTAATGACAAAATATGTTCACAAATTTGTAACAAATTTTGCCACTAAAAATGTCATTGTTAGGCTGTGACGTAGGCCATGATGCGTAGGCAAAATGAATCTGGGAAGCGGGAAGTGCTGTGAACGATCGCATTTTCCGTGTTGAATTTTATATAAATTTATCAAGAAATTTTTTAAAAATCCAGCCTCAATAGTTATGGAAAAATATGATTAAGTTAAGAAAAATTGATGCAATCTGCCGTTGTATATTTGTGTTTCGACACGGTGGAATCAGGAGCTCGTCAATTTTTATGCATCTGGAATTGTTGGTATTATCTTAAAGTTTGTTTATTTGACTATGTTTCCATGAAACTTATACACATCTATCTTAAATAGAGGGCGAGATATTTGGGATTGAATGAGGTCGGGGATGCCTGGTTTTAGAGGTAAAATTAACGAGAAAATGGCAGTCAATGTTGTTGATTTTCAAAGCTTGAGAATTCCTGGAATGAAAATGTACATTTATTGAGTATTTAATCAATGTCTTTTTAAATTATTTTTTTTAGCAAAATCCAGACAGAAATATCTTTTGAAATGAACATAAAAGTTGTTGAGTCAAAAACAAATTTTACAAAAAAGAAAAAAAAATGGTCAAACTGACGAAAAAAAATGCCGATTTCTTTTATTTCATTATTTTGACGAGCGCCTGATTTCACCACGATGCCTCACGTTTATAGAATTCAGCGATTCAGAGAGGTTTGTCTCTACACAATACAGCAGGCCTGTCCGAGAGCCACATCATCATCATTGCCTTTCTCACCCCGGGTCAAGGCATAGAGGCCACGAACAAATACTTTCCACCTTTCCCTTTCCTGGGCTAGCCTCTTGATGTTACTCCATGTTTTTCCACTTTTCTGTAGATCTACATAGATTTCTGTTACTTTTCTTCTAATTTTAATGATAATAATAATGAAGATCATTTCTATAGCGCCCACTCCGTGTAAACACAGCTCTAAGCGCTTTACATAAATGCATGTACGAACAATATTCACGCACACGACACACACACACACACACACACACACACACACACACACACACACAAACACACACACACACACACACTAACACACACACTAACACACACAGA